TAGCTGATGCTGGGATACCCAGGTTAACTATAGTGCCGCAATACAAAGGCACGATGTAGGAACATAAGTGTTGCATGACGTCGCACAGTCCAATAAGATATCAAAAGACTAATATTGTGTGCAGTATTATAGCAGCACTTGTGAGAACTGAGTACTGAGAACTGAGAACTGGTGGGAAGCATCGAATAGAGGTTGCTCTGTGTAGCTGCATCATTCGTCGTTTTCGGACATGAACTTTAATTTATCATTTCGCTCTCTGTACTTTGCCTCTGCAAATTGTTGTTCTAGTAGCATCTTGAATTTAGCCACTGTGTTGGCTTCTACTATATGCTGAGGCAGGTCGTTCCAGACATTCACCACTCTGCGTTCGAAACAGAGTTGATGGGCGACCCGCTTCAAATCCGGGACGATAAGTTTATACCGGTGTCCTAGCGTGCAGCTTGGTGTGCGCAGATGAAGTAGTTGTCTCAACATGGGGTAGTCACCCAGATGTAATATCCGGTGCGTCTTGATGAGGTCAAGCCTCAGCCGACGATAAGATAGGGTGTATAACCCTAGTTTCTTACATCGGTCTTCGTATGACATGCCTCGTAAGTTGGGAATCAGCCTGGTGGCTGCATGCTGCACCCGCTCAAGCTTTTCTACTTCTCCCCGGGTGATGGGACAGTACGCGGGAGTGCCGTACTCCAGCATTGGTCGTATTATCGGGACGAAGAGGCGAGTGTCAATCTCTTCGGACCAAGTGCTAAAGCTGCGCCTGAGAGCCCAAAGCATACGAAGGCTGTTTTGGTACAGCCTATTCGTGTTGTCAATGGACTTTAGGTAGCAGCGTGAGAGTACACCGAGGTCGCGCACTAATGGGGCGTACGTACTTTGAGTCGGAAGAAAAGCAAGGAATGGACCAAAGAAACTCGAAAGACGAACACCATTGTTGCCGGCTCCTTGCGGCGTCAAAATGTGTATTCAAACACACGTATCCATCGTTCTTCCGTCCCCAGCCCAGCAGTTGGGAGAGACGAACCGATTGCAACTTTGTATTGAGGGATTTCATTCATCTAGACCAAATCATTGCTTGGCCTCCCATCCTCTTTCTCCATCCAGACTACCGGCGCTCAAATAACGCACGTCGTGGGAGTCGGTATGCTGGCCCAGCCATGGAAGCGGGATATAATTATGCTGAGCGGTTCAGTCGCTCTTTCTGCACCAATTAGATTACGCCAAACACACTCATTGCTGACGCGGTGTTCCCAACAGACATGAGTTAATTCGCGAAGGCAGCGATTGTGTCTGGCGGCTTAATGGGCCAGGTTTTTACCTACACAGAAGTAATGAAAGGACGGATACATTGTCAACTCTGCCCTTCAGGGTGAGAGCGATATCGCACCGGCACGACAAGTGGCGGAGATTAGCAAAGGCACCTCAAGCTTTACTATACCGTTCGTGATATTATTCTCCATTCCACTGGTGCTGATGTAGCTTCTGGGCTATTTGCATTTCTGAATGACCTTTAAATGTTAACCGCCAAGGATCAGTGCTGGAGTAAATCCCTGCCAATCTTAAAGGACTTTGTATTTCGAGGGTACAAACACTGCTCGAAACGATTGACAGTCAGAGTTAATTTATCCAGTACTGCTTGGCAAGTTTGGGAGCTGTCACAGATGAGGGCAATGCCGTCGGCGTACTTCAAGTCAAGAAGTCGATCGCGTGGGTACCCCTCCACCACTTGTAGGTCGTGCTCATTGGACGCAGTTTCTATAACTTCGTCGATAGAGAAGTTAAAAAGTAAAGGTGATAGTGGGCATCCTTGTCTCCTACCGCTGTAGATATAGTAAGGTAGCGACAGCTTGCTGTAAGCCATCACTCTGCCCGAAGTATGCGCGTGCAGCACTCTGATACCGCATACGTATTTTACGGGCATACCTTCATGAACAGACAGTTCCAAATAGGACATCAATTAACCGAATCAAAGATACCTTTGATTTCTAGGAACACAACTACGGCGTGTCCTCAATAAATATAGAAACGCTCCAACACTGACGTAATGTGAAGATGTGATCAATGCAGCCTATTCTTCTAGGAAAGGTGGCTTACCCCTCAAGCATAGAGCTTTCACGAGGCCCGTCAGTTTATGTAGGACGACAGAGGCAAGTAACAGAGGAAATTGAGGCAAGGATTATTCTTTTATGCTTACTGCCTTCCGAACTTAAGCCTTCCAGTCTGTTGGGACAGTCCCCTTCTCCTAGATTTACTTTTAAGTTATGCAAATCGTCTAATAAAGCAGATCCGCCGCATTTGAAGGTAGTTGGATGATGTCCATCTGCTCCCACGGCCTTATTCAGTTTCAACAGTCTGACCTCACGTTGGACTTCTCCGCGTAAAGGAGAAGCTACGGATGTACGGAGAATTTTGATCATTGGTTGATGACGAAGCTGGCAACTCTGACTATTTAAACTGCTTCCCAAAGTGTTAGGCACAAAGATCCAAGCGTTTTGATAAGCTGTGGATCGGCTGTCAACTCTCGTCGTGTATAGTCCCGCTAACACCAAGTTTCCTGCTACCCGTTTCCCGTACCAGGCGGAATAACTTACAATAGTTACCAAGAACAGCGGCTACTTCCATCTCCGAGGCACGATGAGACCACCAGGCTTCGTAGTCTCTCTTCAGGCTAGCACGCAGTCGCACCCTGAAGTCCTTGCAGTTCCCAATGTGTTCGCTTCCAACCGGTACACGTCGGCGAGTATCCAGACGTGTTATAGGCTGCTTAGTGACCCAATATCTAGGTTGGCAATTTGATTTACCGTAGGAAGACATGCCTGCTGATAATTACCTCTGGCGGATATGCAACCAGGGATCTTCAACGGTGATCAGTGAATGCTTACTCAGCTCCGATGCCGGTGTACTTTGATACGCATTTGGAACTGACTTAGCCAGTTGGCGGATGTCTATGCACTCACAGCATCGTTGAGAACGTCCGAAAAAAGGCACATGTCGGCGCACATAAGTGCGTGGTCGGGGGTCAAGCTCGTGCTCCAAAGCGAGCGCCAGTTTTGGACACGACCTCTCCAACGGTAACTGATTGCGATGTGATCGATCGGCGTCCATGGCTAGTCCGAGGTTGGTGAGCGCCATGTCACTCTTCTGCGGAACTGTGTCGGGAGTTAGTGCTCGCAAGAAAGTGGTGAGCATGCGTTCATCGCTATCAACACGGGAGCCCACACCATAGTGACTGTTCAGATGAAGCTCACCAGCGCACAGTTTTCTAACTTGGGCGTTTAGATTACCAGCAAGCACCACAGTATCCTTACTTTTTCTGTAATAAAAGAGCGCGTTCACTCGGTGATAGAAGTCATCTTTCACCTAGTCAGCGTTACCATTTGTGGCAGCGAAGGCAGCAATGACGTACAGACACGTTTTGTCCCCGCGGTACTTCGAAGCTTTGAACGAGCCAGCCATTCTGGCAGCTCATCTCCGGCTATGCACTGGGATCCAATCAATCTGGTTAACTTCGGCCCGGGGGCTCAAAGAAGTGCCCGCGCCGGCTTCACCGACATTTGCAGCTGCATCATCTCCAGATAGGCGCAGTGAGTAAGCACATCTAGCTAAGGGGGACCGCAGAGTGAGCACAGTGCACCAATCTAACAGACGGGTTTCTGATAAACAGCAGATGTGGATCGAAAAGGTTTGCAGGGTTTGGGGCAGTGCTGCCTGTTGGTCAGTCTGCAACAGAGTGCGCTGTCTTAAGGAAGATCGTGGGCTCCAAACAGAAACAGATGGACTAATGTTGTCCGTTCAGTTGGACAGGGATTTGTCGACTGAACCGGAGAGATATGCTACGATGGCGTGCGAGTGTCTAACGGAATGAGCTTTCATCATCTTCAGAGTGAAAATAGTTGACGGGCAATTAGCATTAGCATGTGTGAATCCGCAACTCATACATCACCCCAGAGACCTAGGCAAGACTGGTCGTTTACCAATGGACAGCAGAACAGTGGCTTTGAAGCAAGCATAACAGGTGCGCCTGATGAATAAGTGAGTTAATGAGACCAGCGGTAGGTGTAACCGAAAGTGTTGCTTGGATTAGCTGGGGTGGAAGGCGGTATTCAACCACTGTTTTGACGTTGAAGTTGGGTTTGTTATAGGCATTGAGCCCTGAGGAATACTTGGAATTAACATGCACATTAGGCATGAGGCAGGGTGCTACCATAACGGTAAGCTGCATCACGGTTATCTGACTAAAGTAAGTCCGTGAACTCCACGTGGGTCAGCATCAAGTAAATCATTCAAGTTTGTAGAATAATAGCAGATATTGAGGAAGTACGAGTGCGCATCGATTGGTGATACACGAAGTGGGAAACAGTCAGTTACCGCGGGGGAAGGAAGTGACGAACACGAGCAAATTACTTACACATTTTGGTAGAAACGTTATTCCTAGAAATCGATATCGAAGAAAACAAATGGGAGAAAATCTCAGTAACTCAACTACTCTAGTGGTTAATACTTTTCAAACCCTAGTATGGCAAAACAGTCAGCTCAAACTAATGTGCGTAAAACCAACGCTGTGAAGAACAGGACATTTTAATAAACTGCTAATAGCATACGGATTGTAAGGGAGGTTTCAGATAATAAGCTGATGTGCGCTGTACAACTTTCTGACGAAGGAGTCATGGAAACGAGTAGGAAAAGCAGAACAGGTGCTCACGGCGCAACAGTTGTTGACGTGGAAATCAGAGGAAGTCAGGAGCGGTTTCTTAGTTGTTCGGCGAAATCAGTGAGCCAAGCACTGAGCCATTCGGTTAATTCCTTCAACGTTCTCAAGTGAGTAGATGCTATATCCTATCCAATGTTTTCTCGGTCTGCTCAATTACGTGACACTGCACAAAAGGATGGCTAGACGTGACAAGCTTCTATAAGTTGTATGTTTGATGAGGCCAATTTCCACAAACTTTCGGCAGAGACAAAGGAAAAGTTTTAGTAAACCCCGATTTTTAAGATGAGTATGG